AAAAAATAAATATATACCTGTTTAAAACAAACTCCATAAAATTTTAAATATATTCAGATTCCAGTAAATCTCTACTCTGTAATATATTGCAAATGAAAAACGAATACTTACTTGCTGAACGTGCTCCTTCATGCCAAGCCATTGTTTATAGCCCATTGATATTCCGCTGTTCCTCCATTTATCATAGAGGGCCTTCTTCTCGGGATTTGTCAACGTATCCTTGGCCTCCTAGAAATAGAGCGGAATAGAATATATGAATTATACAATGTCAAGTAACATAACAATATCTTAGATTTATTCGGTAGCATTATCTAGCCCTATAAATAGCTCTATAGCTTTTATAGGACTACTTAAATATTATATTAATACTCTGATAAATTTTATATACTCAATATTAAACAAAATTACCTAATATGTGGTACAGACGCAAGAAAAGACAATTTTTGGCATAAAGATAAACAGAAATTGACAAAACATACTTCTGCATCAAAATGGGAGATAACTGTAACTGCTGTACAGGGTGCGTCTTCAAATAAGTCCAAAATAACCGAGTTATTTTACTTTGAAAATTTCTCTGAAAATATGTTTTGCTAAAATTTTTGAGAACTACTGGATCTTTTCTGGATTTTCTTTCTTGTAAATTTAATCTTCTTTTATCAACAAATTACGTTTTTTAACTAAGAACTAAAAAAAAATCCAACAAATACCAAATTTTGAGTTTTTTGCGAAAAAAGAAAACCCATAATCGTGGTTCTGGGGTCGAAATATACTATCCCTAAAAATATTTGCACTTTTTTTAAACTCACCCTGTATAGAGGGTGTTCGAATATATAGAATATACTTACATTGAGAAGTTGAAACTTTTCTTCTGCAGTTTTGTCCCCAGAATTCTTATCTGGATGGTATTGAAGAGCTCTTACTTTGTATTCTTGAGAGATTTGTTCCACCTGAAATGAAATTACATGTTCTAAATCAATCCACAATTATTTACAAAACAGAATTCATTTATCTAGTAAATGAACTAATAACTAAGAACTAAACTGTTTATCCCTTACAGTGGCCTTTCATGGTCCACCCACCTTATACCCCGGGATATACAGAGTGTTTCAAAACAAATGCGAAAAACTTCAGGGGGTGATTCCTTGTTCAAAATAAAGGGTAGTTTGCTTTATAAACGTTGGGTCAAAAGTCAACCATTAGGGAGATATCGCGGTACAAAGATGGCGGAAAAATAATGTTTTTATTTTTATCTGAAAACTAAAGAGATAGACTAATGAAATTTTATGGAGCATTACTGTTATGAAAACACTTTCTGGTATTTCTTTAACTTTTTAAAATGAGTGGAAGGGGCTGGAAATAAGCTACCCTAGAATTTTATTTTTTATAGAAAAAAAATACCCCTATCATTCTGTTAACGAAATTTAAAGAAAAATCTTATCAAACACATGCAAAAAAATTAATTTGGATAGTTTAGTTTGTTTAGAAACTTTTTATCTCTTGTACTTTTTTGAGAAAACTCACCGATTTGAAACTAAAAATAAAATGTAAAGCATTACATGTCAGGACAAAAACATTTTTAGATAAAGAATCTAGTGGGATGCTGTAATTTTTAGGAAAAAATCTAGTTGGTCACTTTTTAGATGTTTCTAATATTATTTTATTTTACATTACTCTACTGCAATACGTTATTATCTAGATTATTATTATTATCGTTATTATCACTAGATTCTTTATCTAAAATATTTTTTTTTCCTGACATGGTAATGCTTTACATTTTATTTTTTAATTTCAAATGAGGTGAGTTTTATCCAAAAAATACAAGAGATAAAAAGTTTCTAAACAAACTAAACTATCCAAATTAATTTTTTTTGCATGTGTTTGATACGATTTTTCTTTAAATTTCGTTAACAAGAATGATAGGGGTAGTTTATTTCAACCCCTTCCACTCGTTTTAAAAAAGTGAAAAAATTACCAGAAAGTGTGTTTCCATAACAGTAATGCTTCCATAAAATTTCATTAGTCTATCGCTTTTCGTTTTCAAGATAAAAAAATAAAACATTATTTTTCCGCCATCTTTGTACCGCGATATCTCCCTAATGGTTGTCTTTTGACCCAACGTTTATAAACAAACTACCCTTTATTTTGAACAAGGAATCACCTCCTGAAGTTTTTCGCATTTGTTTTGAAACACCCTGTATATAATATCCAAACCTATATCTAGTATTACAGTGAATCTCTAAGTTGCTCTAAATCACAATAGGCCTTACAAGTCCTAGTATTTTCGACATAACTATAAAGGCCCCTTTAATATTGAAAAAATTGGCGCCAGGAGGCACGTATAGCCGCCCATACTAAAATATGTTAATAAAAAGTTGGTAGGCAGTTCTTTTAGTTTGAAAGTAAAGGAATTTTTCCAATTTTTTTTATCTCAAAAACTGATCTCAAAGACTAATTTTGATGTTATTAAAAATTTTGTTGCAAATATTATTCCTAATCTTAAATTGAAAACCGCGTTTCGCTAGCTACTGTAATTTTGGAGTTACTGTTTTGGAGTTAATTTTTAACCCCCTACCATACCCCCTTACCTACCCCCCACCCCCACCAAAAACTAATGGCCAGATTCTCGGGTGCCACAATATTTTTGTTAAAATCGGTTTAGCGGTTTTTGAGTTATCGTGTTACAGACGGACAGACAGACAGACACCATGAAAACATTTTATATTTAGGTCATTATATATATATATATATATATATATATATATATATATATATATATATATATATATATATATATATATAATATATATATATATATATATATATATATATATATATATATATATATATATATATATATATATATATATATTATTATATATATATATATATATATATATATATATATTATATATATAAGTCGGTTCAGAACGTTCTACGACGTTTTCCGACACCTAACCTCCACTCTTCCTTGTCTATTTAGCCAGAGATCATCAGGTATTTCCCTATTTTCTAGTTCTTTATCCACACCCTCCTCCAGCTTCGTCGCGGCCTTCCTTTTATTTTGCCTCGAGGTGTCCACAGTAAAATTTGTTTTGGTATTCTGTGATCGGGCATTCGTTGCACATAATGAAACCATATGAGTTGTTTTGTTCTTATGTCGTCCACAATTGTGTGTTCTGCTCCCATAATCTGCCTTACTCTGTTGTTGGTTATTTGTTCTCTTTTCGATTTTCCAGCAGATCTCCTCCAGTAATCAATTTCGGTCGCAAATAGCATGTTCTCTGTTCTGCTTTTCAACTGCCATACTTCGCTTCCGGAAGTTATTATGCTTTTCACTACCGTATTATATATGTTCTTCTTATTAGCTTTAGAGATTCCTTGATCCCACAGTACACCATTCAACATAGATATTGCCCTTCTGCCTTGCATTATTCGATCTTTTTATACCCTCGTCGAGTTTCCATCGTTAGTTATTTTTAATCCGAGATATTTATATTTGTCAAAGTTTTATCACGCTTCCATCCTCTAAGACTAGGTTCTCTTGTGTCCCTACAGTCATACATTCAGTTTTGGTGATATTTACCCTCCCAACCCCATTTCTTATACTCCTCTATCAGCTTCCTTGCCATATATTCAAGGTCGTCGTGATCTTGGGCTAGGAATATCTGGTCGTCCGCAAAAAATAGGGTGTATAGGGTATCCTCATTTATTAGGGGGATTCCCATTCCTCTACACTTAAGCATCCATTTTTTTAGTGCTTGTTGCAGGTATATTTTGAATAGTATAGGAGATAGGCAACATCCCTGCTTGAGGCCTTTTGTAATTTTTATGCTTTCTGACAATGAGTCTCGTATTTTTATTTAGGTCATTTATGACCCAAATAACTCATTTTGAGTGAAATTAAAAAAACTTTTTTTTGCCGATCTTAATAGCCTACCATACCTATTGGTATGGTCGGTTAAAAAACAGTTCTAACTGTTATTTGGAAGTAAGAGATTGAATAAGAAATATATTCAGGTGTATTATTAAACATAATATAATTTCACAAACTTGCTAAATACTCGTATATATCGATAGATATCCATTTTCATTATATTAAAGGGTTGTTTTTGCGAATCGGACGGCCGCAAATATAGAGTAGACTAGTATCGATTTCGACGAGGATAATACGATTGTTCCCGCCTGAACTGCTGTCAATTACAGCAAGTAATACACTCCTACTATGAAAGGCCGAGGCTATTGTAGCATGGTAATGTGGCAGACCGGCCTAATGACATTTTAGGGATGCCGCAAGTTCCGTCAGTTCGTTTACTTTCTCTGATGTTGGATGTTAACTAGAAAATTAGTAGTGTTATGAGATGTTTTATTGTTAAAGAGACTGCCAAATACATAAACAAGTATCACTGATATTTTGCCAAAAAATAATAAAGCCGTTGAATAAAAAGATTATAATGGGGATTTTTGTTTTATTGTTATATTTCATTTTTATTTCAATTTTTTCCAAATAATGTCTGAAGTAACGTCAGTATTTGGAGAAAAATTGCTGTCTGGGAGTTTTTTGACATGAGAAATTTGATTTTGATATCAATATGACTCCTACTTATAGAGGGGGGGGGGTGGTTAAAAATATGTAGGTGGCCCTTGGGCGCCACCTACATATTTTTTAACTGGTTTGAAGAGTAATAACTTTTAGTCCGTACCTGTATAAAACTATTGAGTAAAAGAATATACATTTACTACGTTTTTTACTTAATTACACAAAGAAACAGTTAAAACACATGTAGGTGACGCACCCCACAAATAGGAGTCATATTGACATCAAAATCAAATTTCTCAACTCGGCAGAATATGCTGCCGAAATTTCCGACCCTGTATAATATATACAGGGTTGTTCACCATATACGACACGGAGTATTGTAGCTAAACGATGAGATTTTTACAAATTGTAAGTTTTGGGTTCGATGAAGGACTATTAGAGGTACAATTTAAAAATAATTTTACAAGATACAGAGTGTCCCAAATAAGTAAAAAATATCAAAGTTGAATTTTTTTAAATAGAACACCCTGTATATTACATTTTGTTTTCTACGATAATAAAGGTAAAATTTTGATTAAAGGTTTATTATACTTAAACCTTACCGTTTTTGAAATATTTTCAATTTTAAAAATTGCAGTAAAATTTTAAGGCTTCATTTATCAAAGTTTTTAATACTTTCGCCATTTACTGAAGTTTATTTTACTGATCAGTTATTGTGTTTAAATAATAAAAATAATACTACCTTATACAGAGTGTCTAAAAATTATTTTAAATAATTATTAGCTTCAAACGGCAATAACTTGTTTAATTTAAATGGAACACCCTGTATATTTTACGGGAATCAGATGCACTTCATTGTCTATCAAATTATATTATACCATGTTTTACCTATCTCTTTAAGTTTCCGTAGAAAATGCATTTTCTTGTAATTTAGAACTTATTTATCAATATACCCATGGACTATTGACATTTTAGATTATTTTTAAAGATGTACCAAATTTTTAAAGAGTACAGATACTAATATTGTCGATATAATTCGTTTATTTCATTAAAAAATAAAAAAAAATGTTTAAATATTTGTTAAAGAGGATCAATTAATATGATTTCAGTATTCAAACTACATTAACTGACTCTTTGCGTTGATTAATAATAATTGCTCCAAATACTAAAAAACTGAATTTTGTATGGGCATTAGACAGTGTGATAAAAAGTAACACCTTAAAAATGATATTTCATTTTTTAATAAATGCTTATTTATAACAACAGAGACTTCAATTACATAACTTATTATTATATTGATTTCTCACTCAAATCCACATTTATTTATAATAATTTATTAACGAGCACAATTAAGTATGTAATTAATTAGTATATGGGCGGAAATAATGGTGTTATATTTAATTAATGGTA